GGAATCACGATGTCGATGCCAGGGAATCGAGCAACACCGCAACTTCGTCGCCTGTTAACGAGAATTGCAACGTGGGAACGCCTGTCGCTCGAACCTCTTCGCCCTCTTCGTCCAACGATGGATTTTACGATTGTACGAAATTTCCTAAATTTCCTTTCCTTTCGATCGAATATGTAGAATATATCCGCTTTATATATTTGTTGGACATAATTCATAGTCAGTCTGATGAAAGAATGAAAGTTGCCTTTCGTATATTCTATGATGATGTTAGGTTACGTATATATGTTACGTAAAATCGAAATTAAAATAAATAAATTGGAAGGAATGATCAAAGAATTATGTATTAAAAAAAATGTACATATTCTTTACGTTTTAGGAAAAAATTTATTCCGAAATGAACAATAAACAAAAGTGGAATATTCTATATTTTGTTATAGTAATATATAGACAATGGTAAAACATTAGTGATTCAACTGAAATTTTTCTAGGTCAGAAAGCTGGAACAAACCAAGTGGATTGCCAATCTTTAAAGAGAAAAGCTAATAAAAAGGCGGATTTTGCAAATTGGCATAGCGAATCCCTTGATGATAATATTCTTATGGATAGCTTGCAACCCCATGAGACAGGAGTTGCAACAAATGAGGTAAATATCGAATAAAATTCGCCATAATTTTTGAATTAATACATAAAGTACAAAACAAAGATTAAATTTGTTTTAATTATTTTACATCGTATCACTTTATTCAGTCATATAAATTTACACATATATTTTCATATATACCAATTATTATTCGAAATGAAATTTATTATTTTCTTGGAATAATATATATATTATAATATACACACGATATTATTATATCAATGAAGATACTTTTACGTCATTTAACAAAATTTTTACAGCATTTTGGATAGATTTAATTTAATTCGAATTTTCCACGGGACGTTCACTCTCGTAATATTATTACGAAAACAACGATTCATCTCGAAAATACTTTTTTACTTACTTATTCGAATATTACAATACGAGTGTTTCTACAATTAGGCTAGCCAAGGGAAGCCTTTAATACGAATCACATCGGACAAGAGTGACGCGGGTAAAATGGATGAGAAGGATGTAGAATCGATATCAAAGAGATCAACTCCGACATTGACGATTGCAATACCTTCGCACGAGGAGGATATAAGATACACTTCGTCCCCAGAATCGAGCTCACCGCTCTTTTTCAACGCGAACGCCTCTGCCGGAAATTCTCCGCAACACAGGAAGACGTATCGAGACCAATCTGTGAAGAACGATTTTAAACGACAGGTTAGTAAGATTTCTTCTTTTTCTCATTACAAGTCTCGTACTAAGAAAATTGTCGCGTCTTCTCTCGTGTTATTATAGAAAATTTTCACTCACTTTCATTCAAAATAGAAAGAAAAGAAGAAAGAAATTGAAAAATTCGAACAATCTCGATTCGATGATTAAAGATTGCAGGATAAGTCAATTTCTTCTTCAACGTTTGAATTATTTTATGCACAGAGTATGACTTTTTAATTCTGATTACATTATTTATTTTCCATTACTTTTCTATCGCGTTCTCGATAATAGTACATTTTACACCCTATGCGTTGAATTCTTTGTACAAACTATTACACTTGGATCTTTCTTTGAGTACAAAAAAAGTCGTGTAACGAAAAGTAAAATTTAAAATATAGATGTGTATATAATTACATTAATAAACACGTAAAAGAAAAATTAACGTGTTGAAATGAAGAAAAAAATATTTTTCTAAAATTGTCTCGAGTATATATAGTTTATAAAAAACAAGTAAAATTTGTTTAAAAAAAAAGAAAAAAGAGATTCAGTTTGTAGTTTTTGAGCTTTTTTCTAAATTTCACAACTAACTTTCGTTTCAATGCACAGCAATCGTACGGTGGAGAAACATTGATGTCGAAGATGCAGAGGCAAGACTCGAAATGGAACAAGGTCAGGCGAGCATTTCTAACGAATTCAACCCCAAACGTGCCATCGAACCTCAACGTTCCCAGACAGACGCTCTTTCAAGATGGTAATTAACAAACGAAACGGCAATTTACTCACGCCACTATATATTCCTGTTTTTAAAAATTAACGCGATCCTCCTTTCTTTCCGTTTCTAACGCTCAAAACGCAATTGTTCAAATGGGTCAAAAATTTTTCGCTATCCTTCCGACACCTTCGCGAGATACAGTGCAAAGCCGCTTTGTGATAGGTCAAAGTTTCGCGTTTCAACGATTCCATCTCGTTCAAGCTGTTCTCCGCATTCTGCGACGCTTTGTCCAATATCTTGGTCGCGTATTTCGCATTTTCGTCGATGCATTTCGCCAATGATTCGGAAGTTTTACACTTTTTACACGAGAATATCAGAGACTTGGCTCGGTCGATACATCCTAACACGTCGCCCTCTAACTTATCGACGATCTCTATCATCCGATTTATTTGAGGAATCGAGTTCTGCTCCACGTCGTTGAAAGCTTGATGGACCTCGTTGTTCAAATACATGACAGATTTCCTTTTATGGGAACCGAACATTGGATCAAGGGCTAGTAACTTTTGAAGAGTTTTCTTTATATCATGCAACAACCCTTGCAACATCATCTGCTCTTTGTTCTTCGTCGATTCGATGTCCTGTGCCAATTGATTTATCATAGTCTTCGATGTTTTCCGAATATTTTGCAAAAGATTTTCCGCTCGTTCCGTTATATCGTCGCATATTTTCTGATACTCCTCGGAAACATTTTTTATATCGCACTGAAATTTGCAAGATTGCATAAGATGTTTGAAATGTTGATTCGATTTGGGATTGGACAACTTTTATGAAAAATGATCGGTCGATTTGAAATAAAAATATTTGAAATCTTGTCCGAGAGATCAGTTGAAATGATTCATTTGTCAAATGTTTGATTATTTGAAATAATAATAGAAGATAAAAAAGATAAGAATAAAATTGAGTGATAACGATGATAAATAGTTCGATGATATATAAGAAACTCAGATTTCATCTTGTTAGAAATGGAAAAGTGGAGATAAAAATATATTTTTGTAATGAAATCAAATAACAAATATCTAATTATCAAATAAAACGAGAATACCAAATATCGAAGTAATTTTCCTTTCAAATACATTAATATTATTTAAATAATATTCTTTAAAAAGATAAATCATACTTGAATTATTATTTAGATTTAGAATAAAAAAACTTATTCTAAAATCGTCCAATATTGATTTGATCCTTGTCAA